AAAAAAAAAAAAAAGAGGTCTGTGGGGGTGAGGTTACCCAGTAAGCGTTCCTTGAGGTTGCAACTGCAACCTCACAGGTTTCTGGATGGCCTGCACTGTTGTCAGTTTGGGTGCATTTCTTTATCCTTCTAACCAGAATATCAGTTTTTAATAAATCTGCAAATATTTCTTGAAACTGTAGTATACGTCAGGCACTATGGTAGGCAATAGAGAGGGAGCAGCAAACAATACAAAGTTCCTCCACTAATGTGTTTTCAATAAAGTGGGGAAGATGAACACTGAACATAAAATTATAAGACCTCTTAACAGAGGAGAGGTAGCAGGGGCTACAAGGACTCTTTAGCAAGGGGATTAATTATAGTCTAGGAGGTTTGGGAATGTCAGGAAAAGGTTCCCTCAGGAAGTGACATATAAGCTGAGTTCTGAAGATTATAGGTACCATGTACTCTAAAGGAATTGTTTTGTAAAAAACAAAAAAGTATAACATCTTGTTAGAGAGTTAAATAATTTTTTCCCCCTGTGGATATGGGTATTATTTCAGGAATCAGCGTGCATATATTAACATCACATACACATATACACACATAATCTTCAGCATAGTTTTACATACAACAAATGCCTCCAGGTTACCTGTTGTCTGGGAGGCCATCTTGTTTCAACTGGAAGTTCTCATTTACAGCAATTTCATGGGCAAGAGTCATGTCTGATAAGTTCTTTGCTGTAGCCATCACTTCATCAAATGTTACAATCCTGGGAGGGCTTGTTGCTAAAGGAAAAAGAAAAGCCAGTTAATGTTGTAGAAGGGAAGCTGTCATCCAACAAAGCCTACTGATATGAACAAAGCTTAATTTATTACACTATATATTACAGGGTTTTAAAAGTAAGGAGAATATGTATTAAAACAGGTGGATTCTCTTGTGTAATAAAGATTTCAAAACTTTAAGAATTCTTTCAATAGCTTCAGTTACTATATTTGATAATAAACTAGCAAATATTTCTGGGACAATCTTATTAATATAGGCCTAGTAAGACAGACCTCATTTTTAGTGCTTATTGATATCTATATCATATGTATTATATAGGAAGTAAATAAGACTACTTCTATTTTGTAATCTAGAGGTCTCATTAAGTAGACTCAATATGAAATAACTGATTTTTAAAACTATAATTTCTAAATGTATAAGAATATAATGATTAAATTCAGTTCTAAATTTTGCCCAGTGGTAGTTCTCATTCAATTTGATCGAGGCATTGCTTACCTCCTGACAGGGTCAGCCTAAGGTGATTAAATTAGATAACTCAAGTAAAGAAGACCATAGTAAGAACTCAAGAAATTTATATAATTAAAGTAAAATGTAATAAATCTGAGAAACTGGATAATTTACTTCTCAGTAGGAGGTAGTAAAAGAACTTGAGTTGTTCCTAAGGATTATACTGAGAAACCATTCTAATAAATCATGGTTTAAAATCACCGCTGGAAATCTTAGTTTCTGTTCATTAAAAATCATGATCAAAAATGACAGCACTGACACGTAATACTTTGCTACCTAAAGAAAAACAAAAAAAGGAGTCGGAGGAAGAGGACAATGTGGTGGGGGTGGGGGTGGGGGGGACAAGAGAAAGAAGAGGAGAAAGAAAGATGATACACAGAATTAGTAAAACCCTTCTTGAAGGTGCCTAAGGTGCATCAACCCCATAAACAATATGAGTGAGAAAAGGTGAAGAAACCTGGGCCTGCTGTTAATGCTTCTACCAATTCTGCTTCAAAATTCTCTTTAAAAATATCCGCATTCTGGCTGGGCGCCCATAGCTCAGTGGCTAGGGCGCTGGCCAGGGCACTGGCCACATACACCAGAGCTGGCAGTTCAAATCCGGCTCAGGCCAGCTAAACAACGATGACAACTACAACAAAAAGTAGCTGGGCGTTGTGGCAGGCGCCTGTAATCCCAGCTACTTGGGAGGCTGAGGCAAAAAGATTCACTTAAGCCCAAGAGTCAGAGGTTGCTGTGAGCTGTGATGCCACCACACTATACCAAGGGTGACACAGTGAGACTCTGTCTCAAGAAAAAAAGAAAAAAAAAAGAAAAATGTTTGTATTCTTTGGTCCCATAACCCAACGAGATTCAAAAGAATTTCTAGAAAGGCTTTATTATGTACTTAAAGCACTATTTGTAACAGAAAAAAAAAAATAAGAAAGAAAAAGAAACTAAATGTCCAATGATGGGTTAATGGTTAAGTAAATTTAAGTATATTCACTTGATGAAATAGTATGTAGTCATAAAAACAATGTTTCAAGAATATATAATCATGAGTAAATGTTTTAGTTATAATCCTAAGTGAAAAGAGTCCACACAGATATACACACATATGTCTATGTGAAAGATAAAGATACGGCAAAGCACTACCAGCTGTCATCTTTGGGTGATATAATAAGCAATATTTTCTTTTCTCTATACTTATATATTTTCTAAGGTTTTTAAAATGCGACTGTATGAATTTAAAATAAATACAAATGCACACATTTTTAGAAGTGGTCATGTGATCATAATTAAACATTAGGTGATTTTTCCTGCAAAGGTATTAAATTTCCTAAACAAAATGCCAATTAAAAAACTAGAGAAAAAAGAGGCAAACATACCTGCTTGACACATCTCTAGTTTCTACATTCAAACGAGGACAAAAAAGATGTCTCCCTTTGAGGTGGCACCCCCTTTTTAATTCTTTCTTGCACCTCTAGTGTAGTAATTCTCTTGGGCACCCTTCTGGGGTGAATTGCACAACCATTTTTGAAATTAGCAGGAAACGCTATATATTATTTCACTTCCCCTCTGACCCTTCCAGGAAGGCAATTTTCCTTCAATGTAAATTAGAAACAATCAGAAAAGACTAATTTTAACTTATCCTTGAGGGTGGGCCAAGAAGTAATCTAAAAGAGTGGCTTTCTGCCACTTGGGAGAAAAGACAGACAGGGTTGAAGGCCTGATTTATGGTCAAACCAAAGCAGAGCAGAGACAATGATTAAAATAAAAATCAGCAGGTTGTAAGCTTTAGTGGCTGTTTATTTCTGAGAATGTGTCTAAGAAAGCTGCAATGCCTCTGCAGTGCTATTCTGGTACTTCTAGAAAGGAGGAGAAGTCTGCTGCTCTCAGCCATTTCTGAGTTTTCAAAGCCAGCACACAACTCTAGTAACACGCCCACCACCCCGGCTCCTGCCCCCCTGTTGGCTCACAAGCAGGAGAGCTGGATTTGCTGGAGGAGTTGCTTGTGAAGCTCTGCCTGGAGCACTCGTAGTCACTGAGAGAGGCCATGCTTTCGGAAAACCGTGAAGAGTCTGAATCACTTGTCTGGTCCTCTCCCACACACTGCTTCTCACCATTGAAGGGCATTTTGTGTCACCTAGGTATGGATAAGGAAATAGCACCTGCACAGACAAACAGACCTGTGTCAGTATTTTATGGTACTTCCGCCAGCAGTGCCAATGCTTTTTCCAGCATAGACAGCTTTGCCCACAAGTGTCACAGCATTGCAAAGGCCCTCAGATGATAATCTTATCCTTCCCCCATCACTCAGCCATCAAGATGCCCTTCCACAATAGGGATTCCCCAGCCACAGGCACAAGTTTACTCAGGACTTACTAGGTATAAAAGTGGAGCAGCTCTAAGGACAGATCTTTAAAATACAACAATGACAAAGTATGACTATGGGCCTCTGGAGTTAGACTGCTTATTCTGTCTCCATTCAAGTGACCATGGGGAGGTCACTTAACCGCCTGCCTCATGAGTGAAACTGGACTCAAAGACTAATCTCATGGGGTGACCTGAAGATTGAATGGGATCAATCTTTCTCTCTTTTCTTTTTTTGAGACAGGGTCTTATTCTGTTATCTGAGCTAACGTGCCATGGTGTCATCATAGCTTACTACGACCTAAAACTCCTGGGCTCAAGAGATCTTCCTGCATCAGCTCCCAAGTAGGTAGGACTACAGGCATACCCAGCTAATTTTTTTATGTTTTATAGAGATTGGGTCTCACCAAGTTGTTCATACTGGTCTTGGACTCCTGGCCTCAAATGATCCTTGCACCTCAGCCTTTCAAAATGCTAGGTTAATAGGCATGAGCCACTGTGTCAAGCCAGATTAATGTTATTAAAGTGCTTGGCACAGCACTCAGATATTATTGTTCCGGTTGCTTTTTAAAAAATAAAATATTTCTGGGCTCAGTGCCTGTGGCTCAAGTGGCTAAGGTGCCAGCCATGTACACCCAAGGTGGCAGGTTCAAATCCAGCCTGGGCCCGCCAAACAACAATGATGGCTGCAACCAAAAAATAGCCGGGCGTTGTGGTGAGCGCCTATGTTCCCAGCTACTCAGGAGGCTGAGGCAGGAGATTCACTTGAGCTCAGGAGTTGGAGGTTGCTGTGAGCTGTGATGCCATGGCACTCTACCCATGGGGGACAGCTGGAGGCTCCTGTATCAAATAAATAAATAAATAAATAAATAATTTTTGAAATCAACCTCTTTATGCTTTCTGTGAGCCTCTTGGGGAAAGGGGAAGACTGATTAAAATCTGCTTGGCAAGTCTTTAGCTTCTTCTCTATTTTTTTTCTTCTTCTCCTCCATTTTCACATGAACTGTGGTGATCAGAGTATGACCTAATATTTGTTTTCTATCTGACAATTTACAAAGTACCCAATATAACCCTAACAATGCACAGGTACACAGGATTCTGCTTCACAGGTAGGGAGACTCAGAGGGACAAGAGGACCTACTATGCCATAAAACCAATTCCTTGGTTCTGGCTTTACATACTTGCTGTATCCTAGAATACCAAAGCTAAACACCATGAACCCCGAACCCTTACATCTTCAGTGATAAAATAACCTCTTCTGCCCCATGGAAACCATATTCTACCCAAGCTTTAACTCTACCCTGCCCAGGGATAGGGGAGAGAGAACAGAAGAAAAGGGGCTGCTCTAATCCTTTCACTGCCACCAAACACCAAATCCTATGAATGGATGAATGAACAGAGTATGTATTACTCAGCCTCCCCTCTAGCTCATTTTCTCTCTCTTTGACAACATTTCGTGTCCCATTGATGACTTGAAAATGCCAGGAAGTGGTCCCTCCACCCTGTGGTCAGAGTTAATGGCGCCCCTCTTTGTACATCTGGAGCATATCTCCTGCATCCCCACTAGAGCACGTAGTCTCTAGTACAGTTACTTTCCTCTCATGGTCACTTCTGGATCTCCTTAATAAGGCAAAGATTGCATCTTGTCCAATGCCAAGTATATGACAAGTATTCATTCAGTGTCAGCTGAATCGGAATCACTGAATCCCATTTGGTATAGCTTCCAACCAGAACATTTGCAAGCTGATATCACTACACATTTACAGGCCTGAGACTGCCAAAGTCCAAGCCCTAGAACAGAGAATCTACCACCTATGCTAGTCTTACTAGATTTAAAACTCAAAATTCCCAGGTCCTTTTCATGCTCTTCTTTGAATATCCTAAAGTTTGCTCCCACCTTATTATTAGTTTTAGTCATTCCCTTGTAACGCAACAACTGTGCTTTGTATGCCCTGGTCTTAATTTTTCCCCACCATAGCTCCTTCAAACCAGCCTTGGCTGATTTTCTGAGTAAAAGTGAATGAAACCTTTCAGCCATGGAAATGTATGAACTAGCTTAATAGTTATAACTGTCCATTTTATTTTCCTATTCCTGCTGGACAGCATACTTGGTAGGTTTCTTAATTGTGTTTAACAGGGCAGCAAAGTCCAAAAGTTAAAAAAAAAAAAGCTCTAAGTTAGGAGTTAGGAATCGGGGTTTTGGGGTACAGGCCTGCCATTAATTTGTTGTGTCACTTTATGCGCCTATCTGCTCTCTTTACCTCTTGTTTCTGAAAGGGTTGGCACAGTTACAAGGTTTCTTTCAGCTAGGAATTGCTAAGATGCTCCAAACTCAGAGTTCCACGAAGCATCACTAGAAGTTCTGAGAAATCAAATGATAGGCGTGCTTAATAATGCACAATTATGCCTTCTGCCAACAGTTCACTGAAGGTAGAAGTCCTGGCCCTACAGCCATGACAGAAAATTTTAAAAGCTTCAAAATGTTTAGAAGCTCATATTTAGTTGGTAGAAGCCTCCACATTAGAACTGTAGTGTATCTGAGCAGGAGCCTGTCTTTGGAGTAAAGATACCCATTGTTGTATTACTTCAATAGGATTTGCCTATTGAACATCCTCATTTAGATATCCTAATAATATCTACTCATAGGATTGGGGTGAGATTTCATTTCATTTAGTCAATACATGTCGGACAGTCCGTGACATAGTAAAAATATACAGATGTTTGCTATTAACTTTTTTGTCTGTTAATATCATTACCGCAGGAATTAAAAAATTCTGGAGGGAGGAACAGTTTTATGTCAAGATGATGAAAGTATGTTCCTCTACTACAGACAAACAAGGCTGGGCGCTCACCCAGGACAGAACTCCAGCACTTGTCTGAAATACACAAGCCAAAGCAAAGGGCCCATCGCAGAGTGAATGGTCTTCTGCAAGTTCCTTCACACTTGCTCTTACCTTTCTTGGTCTCAGGTTTCCAAATAAGTCATCTGGGGACAAAGCTACTTCACTCACAAGGCACGGTGGGTAATTAGACTGCTTTTAAAACTATTGTGGGTTCTTAGACTGGTAATAAAGAAACCAGGCTATTTCTTTAAGAAAGGTAATGTTTCTCATATGGACAAACTTAGATCTACCTAACCCTCACTATTACAACTCACAAGTAAATCAAACTTTTCAGGAGCACAACTCATCCTACCTGGAGGATGTCATCACTAGTCAAAAGTAAAGTAAAAGGAGTAAAGTAACTCCAAGCAAAACCTCCAAAACTATTAGAGGGTCATTATTCAAAGGAAATAAAGTACTACCATATTCATATTTTTGTTGTGTTGTTCCATCATTTTATGTTAATAAATACAACATCATGTTATTCATTTGAAGCCAGTGACTGGAATGCAACAGGTACTTAAATATTTATTGTTGAATAAATGAATGGATGAATGAACAGCAGTATGACAACTAACTTTTAAGAAAGAAGGGAGGCTCGGTGCCTATAGCTCAACCGGCTAGGGCGCCAGCCACGTACAACTAAGGTGGCGGGTTCAAATCCCCAGCCTGGACCTGCCAAACAACAATGACGGCTGCAACCAAAAAATGGCCGGGTGTTGTGGCGGGCGCCTGTGGTCCCAGCTACTTGGGAGGCAGAGGCAGGAGACTCGCTTGAGCCCAGGAGTTGGAGGTTGCTGTGAGCTGTAATGCCAGGGCACTCCACCCAGGGGGACAGCTTGAGGCTCTGTCTCAAAAAAAAAAAAAAAAAAAAAAGAAGGGAAAGACACAAAGACCTAAAAAAGGAGGGGAGTTTGGTTTTAATTTGCTTGTGATTTTAAAGCTTGTGTCCAACCATAGTTCCTTATTTTCTTTCTGCAGTAAACTCTACCTGAAATAGTCCTGTGCTGGTTTAGGATTGCAAAGGTACACCAATGATGATAGCCATGTGACTGAAGCAGTAAGAACACTGGTTCTAGAGCCAGACAGACTGTGCTCTTGGTCCTCGCTTTTGATATTTGCTGCCTGGAGACAGAGAACTTACCCTTTGTAAAATGGGGATAATAATAGCATCTACCTTGTAGAGCTGTTGTGAAAATTAACTAAAATAGTTTCAGTACTGAAATATCAAGTCCTTAACCTCCTAGTAAGAGCCTAACAGATGTCAACTATTATTATTATTCTTATTTTTAAAAGTTATGGACTCCAAAATTGTCAGTGTCATAAAAAACAAAGAATGACTGAGGATCATGTTCCTGATGAAGAGGCACTTGATAATTGTATGTGATAGGAATCCTAGACTGGATCTTGTACCGTCCTATAAAAGACATTAGTGGTCAATTGATAGCATAGTAGATACTTGAGTCTATCCTTATTCCAATGTTAAATAGACTGAAGTTGAAATGTTCCATGGCCCATTGGTCATGATGTATGCAACTTCTCAAATGATTCAAATGAAAGAGAAAGAAAAGCTGGGTGCCATACTCACGCCTGTAATCCTAACACTTCGGGAGGCCAAGACAGGTGGATTGCCTGAGTTCACAGGTTCAAGACCAGCCTGAGCCAGAGTGAGATTCCCATCTCTAAAAAGAGCTGGGCCTTGTGGCAGGCAACTGTAGTCTCAGCTACTGAGGAGGCTGAAGCAAGAGAATAGCCTCAGCCCAAGAATTGAGGTTGCTGTGAGCCCTGATGCCACAGCATTCTACCGGGGGTGACAAAGTGAGACTGTCAAAAAAAAAAAAAGAAAGAGAAAAAGAGAAAACAATAAAGCATGGGGAGCAAAATGTTAATAGGTAAATCAGAGTAAGAGGTAGACCACCAGGGTATTCTTTGTACTATTCTTGCAAATTTTTAACAAAAGTTTAAAGGAGAAGATGAAGTGGTAAACTGAAACTTTAAGATTCTAATTCAGAATAGTCCAATGTGATGGCTCAGCCTATAGCCCAGTGCTTAGGACCCCGGCCATGTACATCAGGACTGGCGGGTTCAAATCTAACCTGGGGCTGCTAAACAACAATGACAACAACAACAACAACAACAAAAATAGCTGGGTGTTGTGGCGGGTGTCTGTAGTCCCAGCTACTTGGGAGGCTGAGGCAAGAGAATCGCTTGAGCCCAAAAGTTGGAGGTTGCTGTGAGCTGTGATGCTACAGCACTCTACCAAGGGCAACATAGTGAGACTGTCTCAATAAAAAAAAAAAAAAAAGAATAGTCCAGTGTCTTACAGTTTTTAAACTTTTGATTTTTCCCACCTCTGTGACAGCTTGAATACCATTCCATAATGAAAGCTCTTCTAGACAGTCTAACTTGTCCCAGCATCCTTCTTGAATGGTGCTTAAAGAATAAAACAGGGAATAGGGCAGAGTTCTCCAGAAAAAGCAAAATAATCCCTTTTCTTTCTCTCTCTCTCTCTCTCTTTTTTTTAAACCAGGGCTGGGTTTGAACCCACCACCTCTGGTATATGGGGCCAGCGCCCTACTCCTTTGAGCCACAGACGCTGCCCAATAATCCGTTTTTAAGAGTAAACCTCTAGGTAGCTCCCTAAGAAGTCTCATGGCCATGGTTCACAGCCCTCTGTGATCTGACTTCTGCCTCATTCTGTAACACTCTCCCCCAACTCTTCATGACCCAGAATGGCCTTCTTTGGGTTCCTCTGACATGAGCCAAACTTCCTACTTGGGAGCACTTGTACCTGCTATTCTCTCCCCCTGGATTGTTCTTCTTCCTGATTTTCATGAGGCTGGCTCCTTGCTGTCATTCATATCTGAAATTCAACATCACAACTTCAAGGTGACCTTCCCTGATAACTCCACTCACAGCATTTAAGCTATCTAGAGCTTAGAACACTGCCTGGGATAGAGTGGGAGCTCATGTATATCACTGCATGAACAAATTATGCCACATTCCTATTCATAACTTGAGTTTTCCTTCTCTTCTGCCTCCCTCTCACTGCTCATATTCTCATTGTGCAGTCACTTAAAGTACTATAGTTGTTGGCACAGCTGTCTCTCTACTCAATTTTAAGCTACTTGTGGAAAGAAGCTATGTCTCCACTCTTCAATTCCCAGTGCCTACCTCAACACGTTTCTAAAAGGTATCAAGAGTTCAAACTAGCAAAGTCACAATTCCAGAAGCCTAAAGAAATTATTACATTGTGTCTATTCTCACTATTAGCAAATAACAATTAGAGCTAACAGTTACTAAGTGTTTATTATGTCTTCAATAATAAGTACTCAGTAACTATTTTGTGATAAGTGCTTTACATATCTTATCTCCTTGAATCCTCATTACAACCTGTTAGCTAAGATATTCTTATTATCCCCATTTTATCATGAGACTCCTCAGGCTCCAACAGGTTGCATTACTTGCCCAGGAGTTCATAGTATGTAGAGGTACAACTCAAATGGAGGCAGCAGATCCCTAAAGCCCACATTTCCTTGCTCTGGAGGCTGGAGGAAATTTGGTGTACTGCTCATTTTTTCCACCCCTACTCTGCCAAATCAATCTATCCATCACCACGTGGAGACTTGCACATATGGTAGTAAGCTGACCTTATCCTGGAATGGCTGCCCAAGAGCTATATTTCCTAAAAGACATCACTGAAACAGTCACTCAAAAAAAAACTTTCAATCACCTCACCAGGGTGACTGAAAATCCTCTAGCAGGGAGCCATTCTTTATGCACTACAAAATCCCTAGTTAAAGCCCAAATATTATCAAAAGGGTTAACTTTGTATAGGTAGTATGAGTCATAAACATTTTGAAGTGAATTATTCAGATTATCCAGCAGGGTCTTGAGGAATGGTACCCACACAGTTAAGGTTAGCTCATGAAAAAGAGAAATTTCAAGAAATATCTAGTGGATACCATCCTTCCAAGACTAGATCAAGGTCAAGTACAAGGACAAACATTCACATATGTATAGTAAAGAGCAGGGAGTCAGAGAAGCTCTGAAGGGAAAAACTGCAGACAGTGTAGAAAATTTCCATCTTCTGCAAAATGCTGCTTTAGAACTAGTCCCAAATAGCAATGCTAAAAAGTTATTCATCCACAGCAAAGCATAAACCATGCAGCAGAGAGATAGGTGCCTGCACCATTCAGCTAGACAATACTGGTCTTCATCAAGTTAGAACCAACAAACAGCTAGATAAAAGCCAACAAGCCAGTCACTGTCTATAAAGCAGATGTTCACTCAATGCATGGCATTACTGTATCAGAGAGAAGGATTTCTAGGACTTTTCACACTTGAGAGCACTCTCCTCCCACCACTGCTAGTCTGTTTTAGTATCTGTGCTTTCCCCTTTGGGGCCCTCAACCCATCACAACATGGCACTGAAGCTGCTTCTACACTCGACTAGGTATCTTCAGCCCTGGGTCTCTTCAAGTTAGGCAAACTCCTCTGGCTGCCAGGTGATGTATGATATTACTTAGAGACAAGAGAAAAAAGCTGTGGGCAGACAAGGAGCGCACTACAGTGGGAGCCACTGAGATAACCTCATTGGCACGTGGCAGGAGGGAAGAGCAAGGTCTCTGACTGGCCTGGGGACCAGGGGTGCTGAGAAGCTCACAGGAGAAAAGGACACCTTGTCCAGTTTCGTTACCGTTAAGGTAGCAGGGCAAACATCTAAGATCTCCTAAACGTCAGTCATTTGAGTGCCGCTCATCACGATTGTTTCCATCCCTACCTATACTATAATTTAGGAAGCACGTTTCTTTATCATGACTAGATTTTGGCATTTTAAATACATTCATTTAAAAAAAACTTTATTTCATTGTGAAATCGCTCGTTTAAAGGAACAGAGTTTCCTAATGCTAACAAAAACAAAACTACGTTCATCCACGTCACTTTAGATCATCGCCTGTCCCCCCAAGGGGCGCCACCCCAGTAGCAGCTTTGGGAAGAACAAGCTATCCCAGAGGGGCAGCGGTTGGAGCCCAGGCCTGACTGGCCATTCTCCAGCTCTTCCCGCTAACCGAGGGTCCAGTCAAGAGGACGCACTTGGAGTTTGCACGCGCTCGCCCACGTCCTCCGGCAGCCCCTCCCCTCCCAGAGCACCAGGTTTCCTGTCAAAACAAACCCTTGAGGGAGGGGACGGTGGAGGCAGAACCGTGCGCCAAGGAAACCCCGGCAACAAACCGCAAACACACATTGCCAGCCCAGCCCGGGCCCCCACGCCGGCTCAGTCCCCCAGACTCCAGCCAGGCCGGGGACGAGGAGGAGGCGGTACCCCTCCTGGAGTCCTGATGGTGGCAAGCCGCTGGCACCCCGTCGGCGGGGTGGAAAAAGCGGCAAAGCATCCCCGATCCTGCCTCCCCTCCCAGGCCCAAAGCCCGTGTCTGCCCCGACACCCGCGGCGGCCTCTAGGCGCCCCAACCCGCTTCCACGCGAGACGGCGGTTCGAGGTCAAACAAGGGGACGGGCGGGGGGGGCGGAAGCAAGGAACAGGGCTCGATGGCTCTTGGCCCCGCTGTCCCAGGACGGAGTTCCGAGATGAAGCGGGGGAGGCCCACGGGCTGCTGGAGGAGCGGTGTCCCCTTTGCCGGCCCTGGCCTGTCACCTCAGAGTCGGAGACCCCTCCCCCGGGATGGATACGCACCGGGTCCAACAAGTAGACAGGAGGAGAAAGGCGACTGAGTGACCTTGGGTCAAGGGTCTCTGGGTGACCCCTCACCGAACACAGAACAACCAACTCCAAAACTCACCAACCCAGCGTCCTCCCCCCACCCCATGCGGTATTTAAAGGGCCCTGAGGGACACCAGGGAGGCAGCCACAGCGCGGCCGTCACAAAACCGACAAGGAAGGGGACGACGGCGCGGCGAAGCCAGGGAATCCAAGATATTCCAGCCTCCAATAGCTGAGTTCACGCAGGCTTAACCTTCTTGAGAACGAGTTTCTCTCATGTTTGGATCAGAGAGGCCGAAAATAGCTTGGATTGGAGGGTGTGTGGGATGAGAAAGGAACTGTCTCCCCCGTGCGGTGCGAGTGGTGCAGTCCGGGGCTGCCAGGGGCGGGGAGAGAAGTGTTTACGGAACTGGGGCAGCAGCACCGCCGGGAGCGCCGGGGCGTTGGGGGCGGGGCCTGCCGGGGCGCTGGGGGCGGGACCAAGCGGGACTCCAGGGGTAGGGCGAGGCTTCCTCCGGATCTAGTGGAGTGCTGGACTGATACCCTGGGCTCCCAGGACCCACCGACGTGGACAATGTTGCAAGCTCTTGGCAGTCGGTGGAACATTTAGTGCTAGCACACCTCTAATCTAGACGGTGGAATCCAGACTCGATGCCCACCCTACACTGTCTACACTTACAGAGGCAACGGAACCAACAGCATTGCTAGTGGGTTTTCCCAGGCACACCAGCGACTAACCGTGTTATCTGGGTTTGTGTCTACGCCTCCGCGTAAACACGAGTCCAGATTTGCACCTGGACGGGACGATTAGCTCCTGAGAGTCACACCCACCCAGGCTCTCTGTAGACTTCGTGTGCATGAAGAAGATAAAGCGTCTTAACTTCCTCTCCGGTTCTTGGCAGCACCTGTCTCTGGGAGATGTTTCGAGATTGGTTAATGTAAATAACCAGTCCCAGGAGGGGCTGTGCGGTCAGGCCCTCAGTGCAGCTCTTGTGGGCGTGTTTCAGGGTGTGCAAAAGCAAACTTCACCCAACCACATACATCAAAACCATGTCTTCTGCCAGGTGTAAATCAGTACGATATTACTTGGGAGATAGTTTCATGCAGGAATGTAAGTGAATTTTGTAAAGACTGAACTATTTCTGTTTGGTGCTGAAATCATGTCTAGATTGTGGAGGCAAGTTGGCCACCACCATTCTAGAAGGAAAAAAAGAAGGCAGGGCGGTGTCTGTGGCTCAAAGGAGTAAGGCGCCGGCCTCATATGCCAGAGGTGGTGAGTTCAAACCCCGCCCGGGCCAAAAAAATAGGCAATATTTTAAAGCAGGGTCAGTGGTTGTAACATGGTCTCTCCTCTGGGGTTCAAACTCTGGCTCTGACATTTACTACCTGTGAGATCTTGGTCAATGGGGAGAACAATGATAGCTATCTCATTATTGTGAGGATGAAATCAGGTAAAGCGTGTGAAGTGATGAGCAGTGTACACAGTAAGCACTTAGTAAATGTTAGTTACTGAAACTATTTGGCAAACCACTTTACCCAAACTTAGCTGGTGATCTGCATAAATTTGTATCTATATCTCCTTTCACCACCTGTCTTAAGGTGCACAACCTGATAGTGATCAAGAGATTAAAGAGAAAATGCTGCCCCACCTGGAGTTCTTTCCTTCAAACATGCTCTTTTCTTTAAAATATCATTTGTTGGAATAAGCAATCAGGATGATAGAAGCCTCCAATTTCAATTCTTGCCAAATTACAACCACCACACAACTGCCATCACCACCCTAAAAACTCCACCTGGAAAAATTAACAAAAAATATCCCCCAAACTTTTGGGAAGTCTGTGACAATGACACATTGCAGCATAGCTTCCTTTGTTGGCTTTGTAGGAACTTGTTAAGTATTGTTTTGTACTGTGATAAAACTTGGAACAGGTGAACATGAGTCAGGGTAGTAAGTTCTACACCTAGGTGACCAGCTATCTGACCTTAGGTATGACACTTCTTTTAAAGCTCAAATGCGTAACTCTTAAAGCCACAAGGAAGCAATTTTTGTTAAAGCAAGTTTCAGCATGACCTGGAGTGAGAACCTTGAGGTGGAAGGGGTGGGGTAACATCAGAGACCCAACCAGAGAGAAAAACAGATCCCGGAAACAGAATCTTCCATTGCTTTGACATTAAATAACTTGCTATCTGAAAACCCTTTGGTGAATTACCTGACCAACTGACCTCAGCCTGGCTTGACTATAAAAGCATTTTGAAAAAATAGCGCTCTAAAATATCAGCACTCTTTAAAATCATCCTTGCTCAGAGAGATCAAGACAGTCATTAAATTAAATTCTCCTCGGTCACATTATGTTCATGAGACCTTTTGTGGGAGGGGGAGTCTGAAAAGGCAACATCTTTAGGAAGTTAAATACTTGGCATTTTGTTTGAAGAAGACTCATTACGCCTAATTTTTCTAACTTACCTTTTTTGAATGACTTACAGAACTCATGATAATACAGATTGTTTTCTCCATATAAATTACATGATAGACTAAATTTGTCCTATCACTCTTGGCAAAAGAGTAAGGGCAGATCAGAATTTTTGCTTGGAAAGAATTATGAACACTTACTTTCTTTTTACACATCTGAACTTTTAGCCTTAAATTACAGAATCCTTGGGAAAAGTCAGGAAATCTGAAAGTATAATTGTAATATGGACTTGCAACCTCTCAATCATTTAACTTTTCTAACCGAGTTGCATCTTGTGTTGATCTAATGTTATATAAGCTTAACTATACATACTCAGCTAGGACAGGGTGTGGGGAGCACGAGAGATTAATTTAAATCCTTGCAGTGATTTTGCCCCTTATTTCTCTCTGCGGGAGTTTTGAGGCTTCTCTTCCTACATTGATCTGAGTTTCCAGTTGCACAAGGCCCCACCCTTGGAAGAGACCTTTGCTTGGTTTAATACTTTGCTCATGCTCTCTTGAAATTGTCAATACTGTACTTTTTCAACAAAGGACTCTATATTTTCATTTTGCACTGGGCCTCACAAATACTGTGACTGGTTTTGATCTGACCACACTGAATATACGTCCAGTGATTAAAGGTACTTATTTTTCCTTCACTTGCCCCTAAGTACAAATGGATTATTTCATCTAGTACTCAGTTGAAAAAACATGCATCTGTTTCAGTAGTAGAGGGGAAAAAAAACCCAAACAGAAAAACTAGACTAAAGAAACAAGCTAAAAACACAACAAAAAATTGGGTATATCCTAGGTTTTATGAGCCCTATAAGAAATTTGCAAGACTAATTTTGACTGGATATGGTTTTGATCTTACATTATCCCTTTAGAGCTTAACTCATCCTGTAAGATATAACTCCATTGCAAGTAAAAAATAAACAAATATATAAATAGAAATCTTACTTTGTCTTCCTTATCCCTCTTAAAGGTGTTAGAAACAGTGCCAAAAGCCAACAAGGGGAGTGGGGTGGGGGGAATGCAATAAAAGGCAGAAGGAAGAAAAAGAATTTAACTAATACACACACTGAAGACTGAGGCCCTGAATATTAAAAAATTAACTGCATACCTTCTGCTCAATTTTACTGTGAACCTACAACTGCTCTAAAAAATAAAATCCGTTTTGAAAAAGTAACCACACCATCTTGGCAAAATTTTTTTTGTTTTTCCTTTGATCTTGAAGATAAGGCAGATTTAGGTCATTGACCAGTTTTGACTCTTAATTGTTGCTTGATCAATTTTCCAAAGCACCAAAATAATTTTCCCCACACTCCATTGAACTGAATTAGTATAAGATTAGAGGTTACTTCTCATTTTCATTGCTTGTACTCTCACATTTAGACTCTGCCCAGACCCTTGACCCGCATGGGCCCCTTCTACTTACCTGGACACCACTGTTGTCCCTTGAGCAGCAGACAGGAAAGTAAGAAGCAGCAGGGAAGACAGTCCTGGGCAGGAAGTGGGAGGGGCCAAGGAGAGATGACACTCAAGGGAGCACTAATGGGAGGCTAAAGATGTGATGGTTCAGTACCTGGACAAACATAGTCACTCTCCTTATCCCACCTCTGGACCAACAGGTGATAAATCATTTCCTAAATGCTTTCATGAATGAACATTCAAAATCAAGTGGAATACCCAATGGAGTGGAGAAGAGTTTCTAAAATAAAGTGCAAAATCCAGAAGACTTAAAGGAAAAATTAAGAAATGTGATTCTTAGCCCAGAGGTGCTGTGGCTCACACCTGTATCCCAGAACTTTGGGAGGCTGAGGAGGATGACTTGCTTGAGCTTAGGAGTTTGAGACCAGACTGAGCAACAGCAAGACCCTGTCTGTACTAAAAAAATAGAAACACTGCCTGGACAATGTGGTGGGCACCTATAGCTACTCAGGAAGCTGAGGCAAGAGGATCACATGAGCCCAGGTGTTTGAGGTTACTGTAAGCTATGACATCACAGCACTCTACCAAGGGCAACAGAGTGAGACTGTCTTAAAACAAAAACAAAAACAAAACAAGTCTGCCTCTTAGTATACAAAGTTCAACATAAAAATATGAGTTATAGAATAATGATTATGGGGTGATAAGATTTATACTAGAGACAGTTTACAGTAAGGACAGTATATATGCATTTCACATATATGAAATACACATACATAGACATCGGACTAAAAAGATACCCTCCTAATTGTTTAAGAGGCAAATTAGGAAATGTTCCTGATTTATTCCATGTATATTCAAATGGCATATTTCTTTACAATGAGAATGTATTCATTCGTATGTTACCGGTGTAATTTCACACTGCCATACAATGATACCACTGTTATCATTGTATGTCCTCCTAAATATACCTTAGTGAAGAAAGGGTGTTAATCCTGTATAATAAATACATTTCCCCTCTCCTTTTTATCTATTATTGAGAAAGTCATGACAATAAATGGAGCTTTTGATATAAAGTGTATATAAAGGAATAGACTTGCAAAGGCGCCTCACTACAGTATGTCAAAATTACTGTATTTATGCTGGGTGGGGGAATCCTCACTTTTTAAGTTGTTCTCTTCAACAACTTAAAACTTAAAAAGTTGTGTAGCCAGCCAAAGTATGTAGA